CAACTCCAGAACATTATCAAAAGCGGCAGAATCAGAGCCGCCGTCCTCTACAACCGGGTACAGCGAATCAAGTTCCTCGCCGAAGATGTCTGATTTCAGCACACCCTCTCTAGCCCGCATCCAGTTCTTGTTTCCTCGGAGAGTGTTAATCTCGCCGTTGTGTGCAGCCCACCGTAAAGGTTGAGCACGATCCCAAGAGGGGAATGTGTTGGTAGAGAAACGAGAATGAACAAGAGCAAAGTGACCTTCATAGTCCACATTGACCAAGTCATGATAGTACTGGTATACTTGAACAGGAGCGAGTTGACCCTTGTAAACGATATTTCTGTTGCTGAGAGAGCACAGATAAAACCAGTTTGCCAGACCAAGAACATGTGTAGCACGTTTCCGAAGAACGTACAGTTGACGCTCGAATGTTCTTTCATCGAATAATTCTGGGTCCGTGATATCGGGCTTGTTACCATCGCCATAGGCCGACTTCAACACCACAAAGGGCTGGATAATAACGGGCTCTCGCGAGAGGGCAGCAGGACCCAAAATAGTGGAATCATGAGGAACCTCACGCCACCCAAGTACACGTAGCCCGAAGGAAGTTGCAAGTTCCTCAAATGTAGTCGTGGAGTCCTTGAGTGTCTCTTGATCGGGCTTGAAGAAAAGATTGCCAACTGCGTACTGGCCAAGAGGGGGAAGATCAACCCCAACCTCACGAGCAAAGTTCTTAATGAAGAATTTATGAGGGATGCTCGTCATCACACCGGCACCATCACCATCCCGAGCATCTGAGCCAACAGCTCCTCGATGCGTCATGTTACAGAGGAGATTGCGAGCTGTATACGATAGCAATATACGTTAGCGGGTAGAGGTTTGTATAATCTTCAAATGAGTCCTTACCATCGCTGACGATCTTGTGGCTGGACTTGCCTTTAATATGGCTGCCAAGTAGTAGGGGTCCATGTTAGCAAGAGTCCTTCGAGGCATTCTAGCTTCTTGAGACAGTCAACTGAAGACTTACGCAGTGAAGCCTACTCCGCAAGCATCCTTCTCATACTCAGGGTCATAAAGACCCTGCCTCTCGGGCAAGGTATTAGCCCAGCCATATCCTTGCTTTGGCTGGTACTCCGAATACTCGTTGGGCTTCTGCTCGTCAATTATATTTTGGCCATATATTTCCTCCAAGTTCAGACCCATTCTTCCGCCGATGGCCGACAGAGAATGGAATGGCAAAACTAGGGGGTGAATGGAGTGTCTCTGGAGAAGAGCGCCACAGACCAAGTCAAGGCGGGGTGGTGAAGCGTATAGATATGTAGTGGCCTTATGTCGTCACAATATGTTTAGGTCAACAACGTGGGTAATCAAATGAGGAACGAGGGGGGGGAGAACTCTATCAGTGACGCAACGTATAGCTCAAGGATCAATGGAAGGAAGAATATGGTGAGAAGAGAGGGGAAGAGAGAAGATGCAGGAGGGCGGGAGGGTGGATATACTAGTAGGGGAATGGCTGGTGGGATAGTAGAGCGGGAAGCAGAGGTCCGGAGAATTCAATTCACCTAGACTCTCCGATACAGACAAGGTACAGTATGTATTTTATCGGGATGAACGGACATTACTAACAAGAAAAAGACAGGGTTTCAAGTGGAAAGCAAGTGTACAATCAACTAATAGTATAGGGAAAATACGCAGCTGTGGGGGTTAGGGATAGGCCGTGGCAAATTGCAGCTGTTTTTCTTCCACCTGAGAGCGTAGCTCTACTAGTAGTGTACCTACTCCGTAGGTAATATTAAGGCAGCTCGAAAAATAAAAACAGCTAATCTTTGAGGTCTGGAAAATGGTAAAAAAAAACCAATCTGTCTCTGTACCCTCGCCCGCCCACTCCCCTTTCCCTACTCAGAACAACGAGAGAGGGCAAAAAAGAAATGGAAAGGAAAAAACCAGAAAGTAAAATAAAAATATAAAATAAACTAAATTAAAACAAGGGAGGAAGAGAATAGGGAACCGAGGCGAAAGGTCAATTCGAGTTCTGTTGTTCCTACGGGTTATTACACACCCGTGGACCTATCTCTTCAATTCCGCATCGAGCGAGACCAACTCTCGCGTAGCATTCACGGGAAGAGAACGTTTTCGGCGCCTTCCGTCCTGGGTTGGAAGGACATGGGAGGCAGAGTGGATGTTAAAGCATCCATGGTGTTACCGATATCTGCACTATATTATAAGTATTTTATTTCCATTCCTCCAACGCGGGCCAATCTACTGCAATTGAGAGATTTTTGAACCCGGTTAAGAAGGAAATGTTACTTTTCTTTTATCCGCCAGTGCCATACAATAAGTACTATATTAGTAGCACTTACTCCGTAGGTGTCTACAGTCTTGCTACTATGAAAAGCGGGAATGGAAGGTAAGGTGGTTGAGTTACGGAGTACTATGCAATGCAATCCAGAAACCGAGGACGCTAAGGAAGAGATAAGACAGTTGGGGCCAATCAGAATCCTGGTATTTCAATCTTTCAACCAAGAAGATTAGGTTTCCACTACGTCAAGATCCAACCTGGTGGAGCTCTAAACTAATCTAAAAATTAAAGGAATGGCTGCGTTGGCGCTAGTGGGAAACGATTTACACTGCCCACTCGTTTACGCTGATCGGTATCACCTAGTAATTTTCCCATATTCGGTCCTGCTGCTACAAACGCTTTTCAGATTCCGAGAGCTTCCTTTATAGGTCGTAGGCATTGGTACTGTACCCTATTAACTAGAGGCAGGAAGATTCTTAATTGAATCCACGCTGCCTTCCTTTTTTTTTTTTTTTTTTTTTAGGCTACGGAGTATTTTATACCTCTTATTGAAATCCATCCTTTTTTTTTTTTTTTTTTTTTTAGAATAGTATTATAGTACTGCCACTCCAACTCGTTAATCCACGTCCAACCCCGCATTTCCCTCAATCTATATATCTATTCTGCAAAATCACACCGGAAACAAACATCACGCATGACTTTGAACTGTTGGTTTGGATATAGGGTTATGGAGGATCTCGAAACCAAGTTCAACATGGGATCAACATCTAAATTCGTAGGATATCATCCTGATTCCGGGCGCCGTGATTTAATAATAGTAAGCTAACCCATACTCTCACGGATTGCCCAAGATAGCTCTTGGATCCAAAGGAAGAATACAAGCAGTTGCACATCGTGGGAGAATAATTTAGTGAAATCAAATACTTGACTTCTTAGCTCAAACAATAACGATTCGGTACTACAACCGCGTATATTCAATAGATCACCCCACACCTCTTCCAGATATTTCCTGTTCTTCTCATTTCTTTCCCCCTCCTCTCTCTCTAGGGAGGGGCACGGATGAGTAAGTAATGTATGTGTTTTGATAATTCTTTTCCCTTTTCCCCTTCTCCTTCAATTCTTGCGAAGTTGATGCCATTGTCACTAACCCTATCCGCTGGCTTACTCGGTCAGAAGTCGGGAAAAATTTAGAATACTGGAAGAATGGAATCGGTGTCCTGTACTATCCACCTCGTACTTCCACATGATTTCTCTTATTCCGGTCCGTTCGCCCCTTAGTATGGGAAGACCCGACTGGATGGATGTTGTCAAGTGGGGCAGTGCTAGGGTGCAGACTTGGGGTGCTTATCCTGTCTGGACTCTCCCCAAAACAGTTGTTGTTAGAATGCGTAGATGTACTTTTCTCCCTAAAGATACATAGCTATTCCTGATTGGGCCGAAAATGCAGCAAGCTTTACCTTGGGCAAGAGTACTTGGCAGGTACTGAGAATTGCCTTGAGTCAGAGAGGAGATGAAAGCGCAAAGGCCATAAAGTGAACAGAAGAAGAAAAAAAAATAAAAATAAAAAAGAAAGCAAGCTTAAAAGTGGATGTTGTAGTACAAAAGAAGTATGTATTCCATCAGATGAACCGCCCTATAGTTCGTTGCCTATTCCGATGATCATGACACCATAAGGTGATTTACGCCTTAAACACAGTATTTCCTATTATGATGAGATCAAATCTGACATAGTCGCCCCTACTCTCTCACAAACATCAAGAACTAGAGTGTATACGCGGCCTGTGACTGAAGCTATCAGACCATGCAACCAACAGGTGCACTGAGCAATGGATGGACGTCCCCAGTCTCTGCCGCAATACCGAAGGTATTGTGTACTTTTCCCTGACCGTCACTAAAAGTTGCATATCCCACGCTGCCTCAGTTGCAGGCTGTTGGACGATCACCATTAGTACATACCATAACCCCGACGTTCATTATTACAAGCGTATACTCAATATGTATTATTGGCGACCATCGGGTGGGTAAAATTACTGGCACGGAGCAATACCACATGCTGTCCGCCCTGATGCCTGTGCAGGTTTAGCCTCTCAGCAACAGCCTTCCGACAACGGCCAAGCTGAGAGCTTTTCCTCTACGATACAGTGCGTTCTTCCCCCGCCGTCCTCCTCCTCCAACAAATTGGCCCTTCTCCCGGTCCTTCCCCCAATCCTCACCTGACGGCCGTTCAGTCATACACTTTCCCTAGCCGATTTCGGGGGTCCGGGGGGCCCATCGGGCATTCACAGATACATCTGGATTGGCCGGTGGGAGTTTCTACCAGGTCATTTTCTCAGGTCATCAACACCCTTATCAGACGAACTGCTCATCTTCCGATGCTTACTCCGGACTCGATACCATAACTACAATTCTTTGTTTCAGATCAACGCCTTCTTCTGCGACCGGGCCCTTTAATTCCCCCATAATTTCAGGATTTCCCGGGGAAAATCCACCCCCATGACATTCATTGATTGACCCTGGCCAATGAGCACGGGCAACTCAACCAGCACCACCGGGAATATGACCGCATGGGTCTGAAAGTCCTTCTCCCTCTTCGGATATATGCCCGTAGACCTTCCCTTAATCCCGAGTTACTGTGTAGTTTTGATAAAAGCTAAATGCAGATATTAATTTCCTCCAATGCCTTTGTCACTTTCTCTTGGAAATTAACTCCCGGACACGGCACTTGCCCATTCCTATGGGTGAAGGGAGCCCCGACCTGAGGTTGATTACATCTCTAAGAGACGCAGCTAAGGTTTAGCTATCTGCTGGTGTATTCGCGCTCTACGTCAGTCTTGTTATTGGCTAACCAGATGCATCTCTGAAAGGGGATAGTGACTGGTCATCTTTTCTGCGCCATGACCGAACCAGTGGATCTAACACTGAAAGTAAATCCTTTACGATTAGGAGTACAGAGTAATGGGAAAGGATTGAAGGTGGCTCAGGCTTACTCCGTACAGAAGAATCGCTAATAATGCAGGGCCACTTTTGGGTGTATATTGGCTGTGTCACATTGTGTATCCGCCTGATCATATCTTCACTCTCTTTGGGCTCCTCTCAAAAGCTACGGGCATCACATGATCAGCGGAGATGCCAATGTTTCCGGTCCCCCGTTCTCTCCCGACACTTCCTGATCAGTCTTGACCGCTTTAGGTTCACCGGGTGTAAGCCAGTCGATGGAGCGGAAAGCTGCAAGGCATCGGGGTAATCCGGAATGCTGCTTGGAACGGCCGAATAGCGAGTCTGAGTCCGTTTTCGTGCCTCTCGCAGTTGCTCACGTTCACATGAGTTAGAGTGTAGCAGTTTTGTCTTTCCTTTGGTGTGAGTGACAAGGTACTTAGCGCAGGACGGAGTACTTCGTGCCGCTATTGCAACGGACTTTCTCGTTGAAGCGACGCTGCAACTGATTTGGGATATTAAGAGTGTTGCAAGTACGGGTACCTATAGGTGATGTGTAGTACGGAGTAAAATACTCCAGTTTCAGTCGAAGCCGAGTGCATTTTCTGATCCCCTTCGGCATCTGTCTCTTCCTGTATCCTAGTTTTCTCCCAGACTTCTGCATGTCTGATGACGTTTTTATGGTCTGATCCTATATCGTCGCTTACAAGGTATGGCTGTATCTTTCCAGAGAAGCCTTGACGGAATGTCTAATAGTTGGCAAAGCGAGCAAATGATAATACTAGGTCCTTTACTAGCTTTTAGGCTCGCTACTTCCTGCTTGTTTCCTACATCTTTTTGCCAGTTATTAATAGGCTAACTCAATATCCATAGAGCAGACTTTTGGGTATCTTATTGAACCTTAGCCTCAGCGTACTTCGTTCACTGTACCCAGGAAGTAGTGAGCGTACTCAAAATTTTCGTTGGCACGCATCGAAGACACCGTTGAAGATTTCTTTGTTTTTCTAACAGTGAAATATTCGCATACCAACTCCCATGGTCAAAACTAAGGAGTATCTCTGTTTTCTAGAACTAGATCTTCAAGTCATTTACGTCGTGCATATTATAGGTATTATATAGATTTACAGTGGCATACTCTAGTCACCAACCTCTCCATGGTACGCAATCGAATAACACTGCATAGACCAGATTTAGTCATTGCCTTCAGACTACCAGTGATACTTTACAGATGGCCATCCATGACTACCACATTCATATTGAGGTGGTGTACCAAGCGGAGAAGAATTGAAAAACTATAATACCATATAGGATGTAAGAGACGTCCTAGTGAGTTGAGTATATACATATAAGATAATAAAAGAAAGAAAATCAGAAAAAAAAGAAGGGAAACAAAGAGCGAAAGAACAGGGTTATTTCACATACGTTGAGAACCCAAGGCGGATTTAAGGTGGACTTTCCCCACGTAGCCGCGGAGCTTAAACGCTGGTCTAATTGTTTTCTTCGATCATTTCCCCAGTGACTACCGAACGGTCTTCCCACCCGCAAGTTCATTGTCAATTGCCATAAACACTCTTTGACACCTTTTCATCTTGTCCCTTTCTTCTTCTTGGGTAGAAAACAAATTCGCATGGCTTGCGGTTTAGGTCAATTGATCTTGAACATCACAGAGAGAGCTAGTTCTTGAGAACAGCAATCAGCGCGTGTACAAAAGCCGCCGCGTATTCTGTTGCGCTGTATACGATAGATCTAAGCGCAGTTATAATCTAGCCGAAAGAATAATATTAAACTTGGATAATAATAAAGAACCTCGAAAATTCAGGTGATATATTGTATGAGTCTGATCAAGGTTCGACTATCCATGATGCTCTCCCTACCGCTCATCACACCCCGCGATGTATGTGACCTCCTTGATAATCCCTGTCCACATCTAGAGATAGAGAGATGTACAACTGACATATCTTTATACATATTAAGTCCCATGAACTCTGGTTCGGATTCCCCCAACCTTATCGTGCCTCATCCCAACACCAAACAAATGGAGAGACGCAAGGAAGCCTCCGCCGCAATGGTAACAATACCATGAATGTACGTCCGTTTGTCACGTCCGCCACCACCGGTAATGCCTTATCGTCATTAGTCGTCGAAGAACGTGCGCTCCGTGCTCGCAAGAACAACATCGCCTCTTTCGGTTACTCGTGGATCAAACCTGCGGGATGCACCAAGACCATGCTGGGTATGAAAGAGGAAGAGGCGGAGAGGGAGGAAGCACTAGCTGCGGCAGCTGCAGAGATGGCAGCGGTCACTACGGTAGCCGAGGCCGAAGCGGGAGCTGCAGGGATAAATGGGCTCGACCCACAGCATGATGGACAGGATGACACGGGGATGGAGAGGGACTTGGACGATGATATTCCTGACGCAGATGCAGAGGGTCTCGTGGAGGAAGGAGAGGAGGGTCTGGAAGAGGATGATGTTGTTGACGAGGAGGGATACATGGAACGAGATCTGGACGATGATATTCCTGAAGCGTTCCCTGATGATGACGATGACGACCATCAAATCGAGGACGATTTTGATAACCAGCCAGACTTAGATGATGACATTCCCAGTGCTGGAGACATGGATGAGATAGATGACATGAGTGAGGAAGACATGGGCCGCGATTTGGACGATGATATCCCTGAGGCTGCAGAGAACCAGTCCGACCAAGAAGATGAATGGCAACATACCGATACAGATGCCGAACTTGATGACGAGGATGAGGCCAGTTTCTCGCATGATCTTTTTACTGAAAATCTCCGAGCCAGTACAGCTAGCATTCATGGTCTACCTCCAGCACCTGCTCGCGTTCAAGAGACAGAGGCCCAACGCCGGTTCCTCCAGCGTTGGAGTGGCGGCGGCGATGTATTTGACACAAGCGGCATGATGATCGATGAAGATGACCTACATGCATCTGTTACTAGTCAAGGTAGTCGACGAAGCTTGTTCAGCAGATTCCCCAGACGACGAGCTGAGGGACCTAGGGATAGTATTGACTAGACCCCACTGATGGCTAGGTCATCCTATATATTGGCAAATTTATCTATAATTGGGCTATCTTTTAGGGTTGTATGGCGTACTGAATGCAGGCACAGGTCACAGATTGTACATTTGGTGTTCAGTACAAGAAGATTTTGGGACTAGTGACGCTAAGCTGTTTTGAAGTACCTAATACCTTTGGTTGTCTTCCTTCTATCAATAGACTATACGGTACGGACTAGACTTGCCTATTGCACTGTCGCTGCGGATGAGTTCCTTGGTATATTGAGATTTTCACAATAAATAATCCCTTGGCATATATATCTGGGCACTATCGTATTTAAGTCCTGGATCCCTTCAGAAATGTCTTCCACGAACTACATGTGTCGTATATGAATGGAGTAAATACGGTTCTGCTCACTTAAGGCGGACAGTATACCTGATTCACTTGTAGAATGCCTCTAGTTTCAAGAGTAAAACATACACCCTCCGCTTTCTGACAGGGGACTTACAATTGAAAAGATGGATTCCGTTATAGCCATACTCTTTTTATATTCGTCACCAAACAGCTATTATACACATACTAAATAGTACATTAGAAAAGGACCGCCGGACTAGACAGAGCATATTATCCTGAGCTCCACACATGCATTATCATGATAAGGGTAACGAATAGAGCCGCAACCCCAATACAAGAGATATAGCTGGAAAGTAGTAGAAAAAAAAAAAAGAAAA